AAATAAAATCACCTTTACAAATAAAAGCACCACACTGATTGATGATCTATTAATTCTGTCTGTATGAAGGAGAGTCGACTCCGCGGTTTAAGGAAACACGTCACTTTTTATTGGATGAAAACATTTATAATGACACACGTCTGTTGTTTCTCCTATTTCACATGACGCCTCGGCGGCCTCGTTCCTGCTCCTCAGACTCCAGCCGGGCGGGAACGAGGCCGCCCACAGTGATGGCGACAAACTTCCAGGACCGTCTTTAATGAATTCCCCGCTCGTCTCATTCACACAGTTTTCATCACGTTTAATCTGGAGGGGCTGCTAAAGTGATTCTCCGCCTTAAATCTGTCTTTTCTGCGTCAAACACTCAGCTGCGGTTTGTGAATCCACCTTCAGTCTACAGCTGTGGGCTCAGAACTTTCCCAGTCGGTGCTCTGAGACAATTTCAGATCATGAAACAGCTGAAATGTAGCAGGAGCTCAGAGCAGGTGTCCTTGTTCGATTCCATTCTACGGCTAAATAACAGTTACATTCATTATTGATTAATATGACACTTATTTTCTCAATTAATAATTTGCTCTACATCATAAAACAGTAAAAAATGTCCGTCACGGCTTCCCTGAAACAAAGGTGACGTCATGAAGTGTTTTGTTTTGTTGATTATTCAGTTCGTTATCAAGCTTTTTTTTTTACACTTAAGAAGCTGGAACCACAAAATGTTTGACATTTCTTCAAGAAGAATGCCTCAAATTAATGTTTAAAACCACGATTTAATGTATGAAGGACTGATGGTGTTGCTCTAAATCTTTCAGAGACCCGTTTACAGGACTCTCAAGACTTGAGTTTTGATGATTTTTTTTGACTAGAAGAAACTTTCACGCTGTAAAAGGTTCGCTTTCCATGTGCAGAAACAAAATAACATGATTTAATTTGACAAATCGCTGTGCTCTGTTGATAGTGGTTGAAAAAAATGTGCAGAAGTTAATTAACTCTTGATCGTAAATGTCTAACTATGTGACAGTTTTCTGCTTTAAATCTGTTTACTGCCATGTAAACCAAAGGATGTTTTACATTTTAAAAGCTGGAAACACAAAATGTTTGACGTTTTATAAATAAAAATGATTAAATAGTGATTTGCCAGATGACTGTTCATGTGCGGTGACTGAGTGCGTCGCATCTTAAGAAAACACAACGAGCTCCATCAGTGATCCTGTCTAAGAGTCTCCTCAGTGTCTTTGTGGACCCACGACGTTGACACAATCTGTGCACGGATTTCCTGCAGACGTTCTACTTCTTTGCTCCTTGAATCAACCCTCGTTTGAGCCCAAATACAGCAATCGAATGTCTGATACTCAAAGACAGATCTCGGTCGTGTTATCACTTTGAAATGTTTAAATAGCTGTTTGGGACTTGAGAAGGCTCAGAAGCTACTGGGGTTTTTATTTAAACATGCTTTGGGAGAACAGGAGGAAGGTTTTTTTCTTTTTTTTGTTTTTTTTTTTAGAAATAAACAGCCCCTTGATGTAGATGAAGTTTGGTTCCATCCAGCTCACATGGAAGAGTGATGGTACAACTACAGAGAATATTCATCGTCTTTATGTTCTTCTCCACCTATCACTACTTTTACAGCAACACAGTTAAGCAGATATTAACACGTTATAGAGACTTGACTCCTGCGAGTCCGTCCACTCGAAGCCCGACCTGATCTTTTAGAAGTACTCGACAGCAAACAGAACCTGAATCTAGCAGCGAACACAGAGTAATTACCAGAGAGAGGCGCGTTTGTTCGTCTACGCTGACACGTTATATCTTTATGCAGCACAGGAACACAGAAACGCTGTCGTCGGGCTTTAGAAAGTATTTCACCGCTGAATAACAACATTATCCAGCGTCCACAATGTTAACAGGTGTGTGTGTGTGTATACAGTCAGTGAATATATTAGCATGCTGTCAGGCTTCTTCTGCCCACCGGAAGCTTCTGTATATCTGCATGTTATTTACAATACTGGTTAAGACACAGCAGAGAGTGAAGAGAGCAGAGTCAGCTGACAGGATCATACGTTCTGGGATGGAAAACGGAGGGAACATTTGTGATGAAGCACAACTTTGTGTTTGTAATCGGGTCACTGCAGTGTTCGGATCTCACACTTTAATACTAAGTTTTAAGGGAACTGAATTGATTCTTAAGTTGATTTACCTGGTATTTAGTAATTGTCTTTACAGAAAATTTGCTCAATCGCAATATACACTCATCTGTCACAACAATCTAATACAACAGCCATGATGCCATAAATTTTACTTCTATAAAGCTTTTACATTTTAAAAGACGATGTCAAAAAGGTGATATTTTACTTTATTATTCACGGGGCCTAGCTGATTATCAGGTTCCAATAGTCCGAATTTTTCAGCACTGTTTTGTTTTGTTTGTTTTAAAACTGATTCCCAATAAAATAAATTAATTTAAAAATGTGTTCCTTTGGCCCACATGGAGCAGCTACAAGCAATGTCCCGCCCACAACTCTGCCTGACTGGTTACACGTCACAAGTAATGCCAATCGACACTGAAGGTAAAACATTGAAAAGTTCTCTCAATTAAATGTGTAAATTATAAATAAATGCTACGTCTAACTTTGTGCTGTTTTAAGTTTCAACACCAAGATTTTCATTTTAGCTGTAAATACACATCAGTTGTCGGTTAGAATCAGTAGACCTGAAAAAACAGTATCGGTAGAATTTGTGGCAACAGAGGCAATGAGTTGGACAAGAAAGTACTCAGTGAGTGTATACTGATATGGTGACATTAAATAATACAGTTAAGTATGAATTTCCTCACTGGCAACACCTTTATTAGCCACCATAGCAATCAAATGGTTCGTTTAATTGCTAACAACCTTGTTGCAGGCCTCCACTGGGAGTTTGAATAATTTTTGGCTCATATATGGTGCTAGATTTTATCCACACTCCCCACTTCAGTTCCTCAAGGTAGGGGTTAGTCCCTCAAATGCAGTAATTTCTGTACTCCAAAAAACACGGCACCAGGCTCTGAAAGGAGTTAAATTTTACCCATTGCCATATGTTGTATGTATGCAGCATACATTTCAAAAAAAGTCACGCAAAACACAATGTTGTGCTCTCAGAAAAACCTCCAAAAAGTATGTTTCCACATATCAGTGAAGTGAAAATAAAACCAGGCGTCTACAGCTGGAGTGTTGATAGACTGATAACTGGAATAAACGTGGCCTGGGATAATAGCTTAAAGTAATGTTCCATCACAGATGTGTCCCCCTAACCTACTGGGCTGCAACAGGAAACATCTTATTCAGCTGAGTGGTGAAGCAAGGGCTCAAAGCATTGATGTATTTTATGTAAAAAATACTTTACATGTCAGAGTGTTTGTCAACAGTCCGCCACAGTTTGTACCTTTTCAGGTGGAAGTCCAGCTGAGTTATCATTCAAAAGTTTGCATAAGATTGTTCTTTTAATCGATTGTGTTCCAGAGACTGATGGTGACTGATGTGCTGAAATCATTGTCTTTATGTTTTCACTACATTTCTAACAGGCAAATACAAAAAAAGTACAAAAAGATGCACTTATTCCTTCTCATGGGAGATTTCTCTCTGTAGTGCATCTGGTGGTCCATTCATATCTCAATACATACATCCAACTCTGTATGAATGGGAGGTGGAAGCTGTGATCAATCGTTCAGAGAGGAAAACTTGAACGGGGTAAGTAAAGGGTCAATACCCGAGGTATAGGGACCAGCACGCTTCACATCTGTCCATCTGAGTGCTGAGTTTTTATTCAGGAGTCGAGCTGTAGTCCAAACGCCCTACGACTCACCTTTCCCCCCCGACTTTTCGCTGATTGGAGCTGCTTGACATTGTGTGTCTTGCAGGCAGCAGGCCATTGGGCTGGGGATGTAGTTAAACGGAGTGACTCGAGCTGCCTTGCTCGGGGATCCTTGGCGGAAGGTGACGACTCCGCCCACGTGGCTGTCTGACGTTCCTGTTGAGACGGTGCTCTTCAGTGAGCCCTCTGAATCTCCATCCTGCAGGTTACTTCCAGAGGTGGCGCTGAACTTCCTGAGGAGGGCCAGTCTTGTTACATCCTCAGAAATCACCGAAGTTGCTTCAACTGTCGGAGAGGTGCTCGAGTTGGTCTTGTTATTTGGAAAATCTTCAGTCTGGACTGTCGCGTCGCTTGTCTTACGAGATGCAAGTAAAATGGTTGGCAGTTTTCCTGGAAGAGCTGGTAGCTTTGGCTTTTCCCCGTCAGGAGAAGGCACCAGAGGTAATGCATTGGCTGGCAGAGTGCTTTTCAAGATCTGAGGTACATCTTCATCCCTGATGCGTCTCCAGGTGACTCCGTCATTCAGCCGAGATGCAGCTCTCTGCCCTCTCTTTTTTGTCTCATCCTCGCTCTTTGCTCTTCCACTTGAATCAGACGATGAAGAGCGCAGTGAAGAACGGCTGGTCACTCGGCTAAGTATGTTGATGCTTGGCGATGAGGCATGACGCTTAAAGGTGTCTTTGTCTTGTTGCTGCCTGACTCCAGACAGTCTGCCAGGCCCATTTCGCTGGGCAACCCTGCAGGGGCTTTCGGAGCTTGTTCTCCTGGCTGGGCGTCTTGTAGAAAGGTCCCTTTCACTGGATGTGGCTCTTGACAGGGTGGTAGTCTGCTTCTGAAGGCCAGGGTTTGACTTCTGGACTCGCTGGGCTGGTGCTGGATCTTTTACTTGCACCCTTCGTGGGGGTTGCACAGCGGCCTTCAATTCCTGACAGCGTGAGGAGCAGAGGAAGACGGCTGCAGCTCCAGGAACTGCTCTGCGGGGGGATCCGTTCTGAGATCCAGGTGTGTTGCGAGCAGCGCTGTCACGTCTCAGCACAGTCTTTGATTCCTTAATAAAAGTCAGCTGTCTCAAGAATCCACTGCGGTCCGACTCACCCCCACTGGAATGGACCGATGTCATCCTGACCAGGTCGAATCGATTGGCTGGTAGCCCCCTTTTCCCGCTGGCCTGATTTGGTTGTCTGGTTGTTTGGTTAGTTACCAGGGGTGACAGAGGTCTTGGCTGCCTAACTGAATTTTGCATAAAAGGGATTCGGACAGGTGACTTCTGAGTCTTAGGTGGTGGGGATTTTTCATTTTGATTCACAACAGGAGAGCGTCCCTTTCTTTCAGGGGGACTAGTAGCCGGTGGGCTACTAGCTGGTGTGGCGTTCTTTTTCTGGATAGATTTATTGGTCTGAATTGGAGATGTTATCTTCTTCTGTGACTGTTTGGATGGTGTGGAGCTCTGCGATGATCCAGAAGAGGAACTTTTTGGTATCCTTGGAGGTGGAGTAGAGCTCCTCTTTGGCAAAGACAGCTCTATGTCCTGGGGATGGCCAAGTCGGTGGAGGCTCTTTGATCTGTGCTGAGCGAGGTTTGGGTTCTTTGGAGCATCTGTCTTGGTTGGTACTTTTCTGGGTGGAGGTCTTTGTGATGGAGCCGTCTCTTTTTTCGGTGTATAGATCACCGTCCTGCCTCTAAAAACTACAGGTAGGTTAGGAACCGGTTTGCGCTGTGCAAAGTCCAAAGGTTTATTTGCCTTTTTGTCTTTAGCAAACTTTCTTTCTTTGGGAGTGAAGCTTGATGTTGACATGAATGACAGGACGGACTCTGTCTCCTCCGAGGATGGCTCTTGAGACTTTGATGCCTGCAGCCCAGTGACAACACAATTAGCACCTTCCTGTATGGCTCTCCATTCAACACTATTGAGGTCTGAATCTTTATCCCACGCCATGTCATCACTATCCATTTCCTCGTCCAAGTCCCACCCGTCTGAGATCTTTTGTTTTTGTTTCTGAGTGTTTTCTTTCTTCTTCCTGGCAGCCATCTTCCTTCTCTGCTTGGGCATGGCAGACGTTATGCATTTCTGAAGCAGGTCATCCTCTGAGTCCATGCTAACAGAGCTTGGTGAGCTTTGCTCTTCGTACTGGCAGTGAATAGTCACAGGCTTTGCTTGTTGCGCCATATTCAGAGATTTGTTGTGTCTGTTCTTGTACCATATTTGCTGGGCTTTTGATTTATGATCATCAAACTCGGCATCGCTGAGTGAACTGAGAGAGGAGCTGAGTGAGTAACATGCCAAGGATTCATCCTTTATCAGATTCTGTTTAATTCTGTGAAACCCTCGGGCCTTCGCTTGGGAATTATCTATCCGGCCAATATTAGTCATGCTTCGGGAGAGAGTATTTCTGCTCGCTTCCTTGATCTGTTTTCTACTCGTTCGCTTTGTTACTTCTTCATTTTCATCATCATAGAAGCCATTACTGTCCTCTGAAGAATGGGTCATTTGTCGAAAGATTCCTTTCTGTGACCCAACACTGTGGCTACCGTCTGTGTTTTGCTTTATGACAGGCAACTCCAGTTTCCTGACAGGGCCTTGCCGCCTCTTTTGCTGATTAGGAGACTGATCACGATTCTTTTGGTTGGCCACTCTGTCAGCTACCTCTTTGCTCTGCATCAGCACTCTCTGAGTAGGAATGATATGTTTCGTTGTTCGGCTCATTTGTATCTCAGGTGGGTAGTTCATCCTGTTGGGTTTATGAAAGTGTGAGAATATCCTCAAGTCTTCAATCCTTTTCGCTTCATCATCAATCAGCTCCTGTTTGTTCATGCCTTTAGCCGTGCAGTCTTTAGCCCCCCTCTCCTTGACTGGATACTGAAGTGTTTCATCGCTTAACGATGTTGTGCTGGAGAAGTTAACGGGCGTTCCTTCTGCTGAATCTGTGAAGGACGAATCATCAAATTTTAAGTCTTTTTGCGGGATGACGATTCTCCTCCCAGGGCACATTTGAGTTTTGCCATTTGGGAGCATCATGTAAACCGGAAGATGTATCGGTTTTCGCATCTGTGAATTGAGGATATGAGGAGGGATGGTGGTCATCAGTGAAGGTCTTACTTTTCTGAACTTAGAGGGCATTGCTGAATTGATGCATTCTTTTAAGATTTCAATGTCATCGTCTGAGTTGCCCTCACTGTATCGTTCTCCATTGTCAAGTCCCTGCTCATCTTCATCAGGGAAAGGGATGCTCTTGTCATTTTGCTGGAGTAGGGGGGTTAATTTCAGCTCCACATCTTTCTGTATGTAATGCTCATGAAGAGGCAAAGCACTTAAGCTGGAAGCACAAGAGAAGTTCTCAGTAGGCTTTTCCACAGTGAAGTAGATCATGGTGTCCAGGTCAGGAGGAAGGTTGAACCTTTCCTTGGAGTCTGCAATCTCCATGAACTTTCGCAGACTGCTTTCCCACTGCCCTGCTATCCCTGTGCTCTGTGGTTCTGGTCCATTAGGCTCGACACAACAAGGAGTTTTACTGCGACTAGGAGGCATAGTTTGTCCCGGACTGTCGGGAAGATCACTTGGGCTTATTGTTCCATCAATCATTTCACTGCATGGATCACTTTGGATCGAGCTGGCAATGGAGGGAGACTCAAAGCTGCCCAGTGAACTGACGGAGCTACAACGACTCATCACCAGGGGCGTTTCATGGATGTAGTTCTCAGATGAGCTGGATGGAGATCTGTCTTCCAGTATGGCTGGTGAAGCTCCTCGCAGGAACACCTTCTCCCTTTTGGCAGGACAGGGGATTTCGATGGGATCCGTCTCTTTGCTGGGGAAGGTTTTGGAGTCAGTCATCAACAGCTGGCTGTCACTAAGATCCTCCAAGGTTTCATCCTCTTCCACTCTCTTCACCACTTCTCCATCTTCTACTTCAATTATCTCTAATGACGAGTCACTCTCCAGCTCGTTCTCACTTTGTCCGTCCAGTGCTCCGTCACCAGAGGAGAGGGAGGACAGCGAGCTGCAGCGGGAGAAGCAGATAGGAGTGTTTTCAACAGAGTACTTCTGGACCGTCTCCATGGTGCCGATGGTTGGACTTCTGGTGGAAGTCATTGGAGAAAACTTTGTTATACTCCCCCCAGTCATCACAGTAGGTACCCATGCCTGCCTCCTCATTGCTTGGGCAGCCTGGACATTAATGGCTGTCTTTGCTACCCCAAATTTGGCCACACTCTGAATAAGTGGCACCTGTTGATAAGAAGGAGACAGTTTAATTGACGTCATACTGACATCCGAAGACATCTTGGTGGATGCACTGACAGGTGTTTGTACAGCTGGATCTTGGTTCTTTTCTGCATCTGTGTTGCTGAGCTCTAGAGGTTTCACATCTTTGTTGTCTACAGAGTCTCTCTCTGGGATGTCTTGCTGGTTTGTCTCATTTAGGACAGCAGGCCTCACATTAAGATACTCTTGATGAGCCACTTTGAGATCGAGCTGGTTTGGTCGTTGTTGCATCATTAGAGCTCTTGGAGCAGGTCGCATCTGGTCTTTGCTGCCACAGTAGCCATCGCTGGTGCTGCCACTGTTCAGGCTGTCTGTTGATACACTTGAATGGGCAGTTTTGAGGCGTAAGAGGGCATGGGCTCTGCTGAGGCGTTCTCTGTGGGCTAAGCTGCTTGTATCGGACAGACGGCAGGGGGAGCAAGACTTCGCCCGGGCTTCATTGAGTTCATCCAGTCCATAAGGCCAGTCTGCCAGGTGGTCTTCAGAGCTGAGGCTCAAGCTGTCCTCAGACGACGTGTGCATGGTGATGTCCTCCACCAATCTGTCGATCTTTGCAACCGTGTTAGTAATCTTTTTGGCGAGCTTCTCTGCAGCAGCTGAGACCACATCATCAGAAGGAGCGTGTCTCTTGTCGACCATATGAGGCGGGTCTACATCTCTCTCAGGTTCGCTGTCCCTCTTACGTGGCTGGTTTTGCAGGAAGTTAGAGTTGGTCAGAAACATGGACAGCATGGAGAAGCTTCCAGTGTCCAGGCTGCTGGAGACATTGGGGGCCTCGTCATCATCAAAACAACCAGAATCAGATGCGTAATCCTTTGCCAGACTCTCGATGTGGCGTAGTGGCTTGTTGAGGGTCAGGTGCTTGGGGCTCTGTTTCTCCAAGGTATCAAAAGTCTCTGCTAGGTGTTTGGCATCCAGCTCTGCCTCCAGAGCCTTCTGTTTCCTCATATAGAGCGAGGGCATGCAGGAGCCAGGGGATACGACAGCAGCATCCTTATATTTCAAGGGTCTATTGGTGAGGAGGTTTCTTAGAGCTGCAGCGCTGCCCATGGCTATCATCTTGTGCTTAGAGTGGATCAGGTTGCGCAGCATGCTAACTGCCCCGAGGTCCCACAGCAGCTCCTGGTCTTTTTGACTCCTAGCTGAGAGGTTCCAGAGAGTCCCGCAGGCGTTACTGACTATGGTCAGGCTGTGGGAGCGCAGGTGCTGCAGCAGCGTCTGGAGGCAGTTGTGGTCCCTGAGGATTTGCCTGTCAAGGAACAAAGAAAGCAAAAGGTATTTTAATAACTTTCTTTCATCGAACTGAAGTAAAGGATTACTAGCTGTAGTCACTATTGTGGATTTAGCACATTTTTATTTCATATCATACATCCTTTGCATCACTGCTCGCCTTTTTCCACAAGCTTAAGTATTTTTAGATTGTTTATTCTGATTTTCTTCTGACTGAGCCTCCTGAAGGTCACAGTGAGAATTTTTTTCTGTGTTGTTTTCATTCTACTTTTCATTCCTTTGATCCATATAAACAGTTGGTGTTGATCCATTTCTAACGCAACTGTTTAGGCAAGCACACTGCAGATACTACAGAAAGACGCTGCAAGACTTGATATATTTATTGCTCATTATTCATCTTAAAATCTGCGATACAGCTGTGTTGGTAAAGCTGTGGCTGGATATATGGTTACTGCTCAGACTTTGGCTGCTGTGGTTCAATCTGTGGTTCTTTGGATATGTCCAGCTGTTGCTGACTGAACCTGCCCTGCTTCCATAGGTATGCTTTCATAACATATTTTGAACATTGAAATCATATGACTGATCAGCTGTTTCTTCTTCTAGAGACTCTGGACAGAATGAAACATGGGCCAGTACCAGCTGACATTAAAGAGTAATTACAATTTGACCAACAGAAAACAATTTCTTTATTGTTGTCTAAATTTTTCTCGTCGATGGGCAAAGTTTGATTAGTTTCTTTTTCTTTAAGGCCAAATAATCAATAACCTTTTGAGGTCAAACAGGAGGACATCTACTAACATGTCTGTTAAGAACCCACCTGTAGTCTTCCCGTGTAGCGACCAGACTCGACACATTTCGGAGAATCCCTCCGCCGCTCTCGATGATGGCGAGTGAGTTTGTCTGACAGCGGTACGTCAGAGTGCTGACCAAGAAGCCCAGAGCGCCATCCACCGAGCAGATCGCCACCTTGTTGTCGATGCTGTGCGCCGACAGGTTCCACAGAGCACTCAGAAGACTCTTCAGTGTTGACTCCTGCACAACAAAAACAGGTTCATGTCTGTAGATTATCAGTCATCAAGGTCAGGGTGACTCTGGGTGCTACAGCAGCTGGACTTGTTTTTAGTTGTTGAAGGGGTTTCATCTTCATCAAAGAGGCTTCCTCAGTGGACTTGAGAGTGGACATGTGAGTTCTGGCTGAGTAGCAACCCAAAAGTGTTCATAAATAAATATCTAGAACTTCCCATCTGTCAGTTAGAACTGAGGCAGCCTCTTGGATGAAGGTGAAATGTCTTTACGAATAAAAAACAAGCCCAGTTACCATCTACTAAAGCACTTACGAAACAGGTTTTCTTTGAGATGACGCACACAGAACTTTAATCATGATGATGTATTATACAGCTGCTGTATAATAGTATAGGGAGCAAAAATATAAACAGAATAAAAATGAGAGTCACAATATATATATGAAATTATACACCTGAAGTAGTTAGCAGCATTGTCTAAAATATTGCACAGATAAAAAACAGTCCGGGGAAGTGGGGGTGTTCTTAAAAACATTCCAGAAGATCCTAAAATACTAAAAGAAATGCTGGTGGCTGACTGATCTACCACAGAACTTCTCCGTTCTCACATCTCTTCCCAAATAAAGACCCCTTATTAACTCTGTTGTCGCTCCTTATTGTCTGTGGGTTGGTTTGTTTCGGTTACCTTGGTGGCCTGCAGGGCGCATGTCATCAGGGCAGACACACAGCCGATGTCTCTGAGGACTCTCTTGCTGCTGATGTCGGCCCTCCAGGACAAGTTCCTCAGGATGCTGGAGACCACCTGGTGGAGCTCCTCGCTGTCAGAGGCCAACTGGGCTACCAGAGCCTGGAGGCAGCTCTTCTTTGAGCACAGGGTGGCCTGCAGGAGGAGGAGTGTGTTAATGTGGGGCTGCCATCAGAAGAAAAACTCAAACACACACATCACTGTTGTCATTGGTGATCCTTATGCTGCTACTACACAGGGATGTAATAATTGCTGTTTTCTTACAGTACAAGCTGTTCAATTCATACATAGTTGTATTTTCTCATCCCTCCGACTGTTTAAAGGTATCTGGTCTTCATTTTTCTCTCTTATGTTTTCAGTCTGCTGTCAGCTCAGGTTGGCAGAAACAGTCTGTTTTAATGAATCCAGTTTGAAGCATCTTAAACTTAGAGTACTGACAGTTTATTGTTTATATGAAGCTACAGGCTGAACTCAAACTCTCTACTGGTTCTAAGGTTTGATTATTTTTGTAGTGAACAGATTTTTTTGTGCTGCTTTTAAGAAAATGAAAAATAGCAAATTTCACTCATACTGTTGTTTCTCGTGGGAGGTTTGGTGCCAAGTGTTTCAGGTCCAACCTGATCAGTGCTGTTGTGAGTTAAAGAGTTGATTCACACAAACTGCCTGGTCTGTGTGTACCTTGTTTACAACGTCCCCAAAGGTGAGGTTGGTGAGGGCCATTCCTGCATAACGGCGCAGAGCCATGTTGATGGGATCATTCTGCATGCCGTACATGTCCTGGTCCAGGTGGATCAGATCCGCCACCACCTGTAGACCACCTGCAAACAAACAAAGTTTTACACCTTGACACCTCAGCTTCAAAATATTGCATTCAGAAGCCTACTACAGTAAAAGTACACAAGTAATATCAGATAAATGCCTAACAGCTCTAGAAATAATGTCTAAGCAGCATTTTAGTGTAGAATTTCTTAGTTACGAAGCTAGGAGAGCTAGAGGGTGAACATAGTTGGAAACCACTGATTTAATCTTTAAAACTTGTTGTACTTCAAAAAATATGTAAATCTTCATCCAACCTGGAACTAAAATTGTCAAAGAAAATTCAGTGCAGTATCCAGCTCAGCATTTCCTCTGAAGTGTACCTGTGTACCTGAGTAGTGACGAATTAAACTGGTTGTCTGTGTCTCACCCACCTAGCTCATTCATGGCCCGGCGATACTCTTCTTCAAAGGAGAGTTTCATGATGGCACACATAGCCTGACAAATCTGAGGGTCCACAGGTTCAGGAATATCTGCACAAAAAACACACAACAAAGAATGAGACCGAAAAGTCCTTTTTGCAGGTTCACACAACAACACTGTAATTATTTGCGACTAATTAGAGCCTGCAGTATTCAGGCTTGGTCAGGTTTCAAGACTCACCTGTTGTTTTAGTTCCTCCGGGTGACGGCGTCCCAGCGTGGCTCTCGATCCAGTCCCAGCCGCTGTCGCAGTAGGTCCGCACCTGCTCCAGCATGTGCAGCACCCTCATCTCGCGGCGGGCCTGACCCTCGTCCTGCTGGGAGTAGATGATGTTGTGGAGAGCGGCGCTCGCTCTGGACTTGGCCTCGCGACTACAGCCAGTCGCAGTGCTGCCCGTGGAGGTCTCCCCACCTCCTCCGCTTGGAGCTTCATGCAGAATCTGGACCAGCAGAGGGACGCAGCCGGACTTTCTCATGGCGATGCAGCTGTCCTGAGAGCTGGACAGAGCCAGCAGAGTGCGGGACATCTCCTCCTTATCTCTGTTAGCCAGCATGGACAGCAGCCAGAACACCATCTCCACCTGAAGAGGGAGTTAACAGTGTGATGCACCTCCACGTGAAGATGTAGCTATTGTCGGGGTAGCTGGGTAGAAGGACGACGGATCTGACAGAATCTAAATCCTACAATCAGAACTGAACTAGAACCATGACCCTCATTCTGCCCAGTTAGTGGTTCTGCTTAGTGAGAAGTTTGCAGCGAATCATGATGTTTCGATTATAGTTTTGTCAGTTTCCTGTTTGCAAGAAATATTCAACTCTTGTGTTATTTGAATCATTACTTTACTGACTATTGAATGACAAAGTTTCTGACAAAAACAATTTTACATACTAATTAACCTCAAAATGGAAAAAAAACGAAAAACTCTAATGAACTGTTCTAAAGCTGCAATAGTTGTTTTGTTTTTTTTTAACCTTCTTTTTTTTTTTTTAACAGCTAAAATACTGCCATCTACTGGTGTGGCTGAAAAAATACTGTCTGTTGCACCAAAAATGAATTTCTGTGTTGGCAACAGTTGCACTTGCAGACCTTTCTGAGTACAAACTATTCAAATGCGTTTCTTACACATACTGCAGCAGTATGTAACAGTAATTACTGCCATTTTAATGTGCGTTAAAAGGAAGCTGTGACACTTTGTGCTTTCTCTTCAAACATATTTTCTGAGTTTATCATCACACATTGACACATTTTGATTATGTGGCTTGTAAGTACACAGATGTGAGAATTAGCATAATAAAAGTGTGTTGGTCTGGTGTAAATAGAAACAGCATTGCGCCCGTCTTCACCAAACCCCAATGCTGGAGAAATGGCTGTTTTAAACAATCTTTTTGCCTGCTGATCATTTTTCAGATCATTTTTTAAATTTGCCTCCTTCCTTCCAGCTGGTCACAGCTTTCACTTCACTTCGATGAAAACCAACTTGCAGAGACTTAAAGAACCCATATTCTGCTCATTAGTTGGTTTATGATTTTAGTTTCGGGGTCTACTAGAATATGTTTACATGATGATGGTTCTTTGATCAGCTGTTCTCAGTGTGATCAGCACATTGTGTTGATGAGATGAAGGTGTGTTGGTTGTCACCTTGCTGCCTCCGTCTGCTGCTTCTGTTCCTGCTGCTGCAGTTGCTGATGAGCTGCTGTTCTCTGGTTCTCCAGCTGGGGGCTTCTCAGCGCCGGACAGCTGCATACACAGAAAGAAGAAGACAACGACATGAGGATGGTGGGTTTGTTCCAATACCCACACTACCATTCTATATAGAAGCCATCCATTCATTATCTATACACCGCTTAGTCCTCACTAGGGTCACGGGGGGCTGGAGTCTATCCCAGCTGACTTAGTGTGAAGGCAGGAGCCACCCTGGACAGGTCACCAGTCTATCACAGGGCTACACTTAGAGACAGACAACCAAGCACACTCACATTCACACCTACGGACAATTTAGAATCACTAATTAACCTCAACATGTTTTTGGGACCGTGGGAGGAAGCTGGAGAACCCGAAGAGAACCCACAATGCACGGGGAGAACATGCAAACTCCACACAGAAAGAACCGGCGACCTTCTTACTGCGAGGCAACAGTGCTAACCATCGCTCCACCTTGCAGCCCTCTATATAGAATGTCATAAAATAATTTTTTATGTCCTAATATGTAGTATGTCAAACACAAAAAACAACAGGAGGTTCTACTACATCTGTTCTCATTTTGCAGCCATTCTGAACCACGATCCTCTGCAGCGGAAGGAACATCTCATACATCAGTGTGTCACTCAAGTAACAAGTTCGAGCCACAGAGATCACACAGACAGATAATTTGTCACTGCAGACTGCAGCAGATATATGAGCGAGATGCTCCAAGCTTATGCCACAGTCTTATCATAAGGCAGTTCGCCCCAAATGCATACTACTACATGCATCAGTGCAAACTCTATGGACCACTGCAGTACGTACTGAAAGGGAAAAGAGAAAGTATGTGGGTTGGAATGCAGGGGGTGTCTTTGACCCAGTTCTATTCTGATCCCCCCCACCTTCTGTTTGTGTTTGGAGCCTCGTTCCAACACTGAGTCTGAATCAATGCAGGTTCACCGACTCCTCAGCAGCTGTTTAGTGTCTGAGGTGGAGGAAACTGCTCACACCTACAGATTTCTATTTTAAAGGTATACGCTGCTTTCACTGATTGATTCATGTCTACATTGTTCAGTGTGAAATATTCTACACGTCTGCGGCTATTTTCAAGGCACATTTCACCAATATTCAGTCTGACAAAGGCAGAAAGTGTGCAGTTAAAATGTAAAGCTAAAAGTATCAGTTTCCCAGACATGGATTTAATCTAGTCCTACACTAAAACCTTTTCAAATGGAAATCTTCATTGAAGTTTTCTTTTATTCTAGGACTAGTCTCATTCCAAGTCTGGGAATCTAGCTATAGGATGGTTGTTTCCCAGGCCTCTAACCCTGAACACTAAAACCAGGTCTGAACCTTTGATGGTTTGTCCTCCGAACGTCTAAAACTCCCACTGGTCCTCACAACAATACAGATGTACAGGAATAAGCTCACACACACAGCTTCATTTGGATTCACAGACTGAAACCCTCAGAGACTCGTATCAAAGCTTTCACCCCCCTACACCTCCATCCCGTAACCATGGCAACGCCTCGGGGTGTGATGTGTGTGAGCCAAAGACCGTCTGCAGACAAAGAGGCGACTGTGTGTGTGCGTGCGTGTGTGTGTGTGTGTGTATATGTGTGTGTGCGCGTCGATGTGCGTTTTGGTGCTTTTAACAAAGAAAACCTGAATATTTGCTGTCGTTCTGTTGGACAGACTGAATCCGTGGCTCTGATCCAAAAATCCTCCTCCTCCTCCATTAAACACCAGCAGCTGCAACGTAACGACAAAATGGACGACGGCGAGCAGCGGAGGATGAAACCTAATCTGCAGTGAGAGAGGGCGTCCACCTCCACAGGAATCTCCGTAATCAAAGAACATAAAATAACTGTACGTGTTCAGTGAGCCCATGACTCTCCTCTAGCGCCCCCATCAACAAAACACAAACATCAGAAACTGTGTTTGTTCTACCTGGGTGAATATGATTCAGGTCACACTGAGATGTTTTTTATGTTGCACACAGCCACTGTGACGCCTACCAAAACCAAATCAGTTAGTGTTGCAGATTCTGGACAAAATAAAGACTTTTAAAGCCTCCATTAACTTTTTGGAAGTCGTGGTGCGACAATTCTGGTTATATGAAAGATTTTGTTGTTGTAGGTGTTTTGAGTTATCGATGGATGAATTTTGGCCCTTTTCAGTTTTACAGCACCGTTTGATTGTACAAAATATTCCCCACCCTGCCACATTAAGAAGTACAAGTAAAGTAAAATTACATTTTTCATTAAATAGAGCTACTAATAATGAGAATTGACGACTAATTTCCCAATCTGTAAACTTCTTGTGTGGTTAAAGTAACTGGGTTTGAGGCAGCCAACAGTCACATGAATGTTTTCTGGTGAACTGCAGGCTGTGTTTACAACAAGAGAGGCTGAGAGGAAAAATTATACATAATGGATCAAAAAGAAAACTGCAGCATGACTCAAAAATGGTTTACAGAGGAGCAAACTGTCAGCAAGTTGTTGGACGATACATTCAGCAAAGTGAAAGCGTGGAAAAGACGCAGAGTTTGTGGAGGTTTATGAAACTGTAAGAAGTGAAATATCTATAGCATGCTGAGTATGGATCAACCAATATGTCTTTTTATTTTTTATTATTGTATTTTCAGAGCCAATATCAATATTGATTATTAGTAATCTAGAAAGGCTGATAACAGATGGTTAGGCCTGTGTCTGTCAATTAAAAGTTAATTTTACTTCAGGAAGATGTTATTGCTTATTCCACAGAGCGACTGTAGGGAGAGATCAGCATCAGAGCCAAATCAGAGCATTTCATGTATTAAGCGATAATAACAATAATACCAATAATCGGAAACATGCCAAACATCAGCCTACAAATAGGTCGATCCCTAATGTTGAGCCATGTTTTTTTTTTTTTACAGTAATGGCAAAAACCCTGGTACTTGGAAAATGTTGAACATGATGATTTCTGTTTTTTTTTTTGTTTTTTTTGTAAAATAAGCCTCTTTCTAGCTGTGGTTGCTTTGTTTCCATAGAGGTGCAGGACTTAATATTGTGAAAAATGAGCCTTGGTGTTCAGAGGGTTAAAAGATGTGTTCACCTGATGACCTCTCTGTGACCCTTCACCATTTCTTTGGAAAGTTTTATTCTTTACATTGTTGGAAAAACTTTTTGTCTGTTTTTATACTCTGTCAAATAATGAATCCTATTTTAGAAAGATGCCCTACAAATAAAACATATTAATGTTACTAATATTCATGTTTTGAAGCTGAGAGCAGCACAAGATAAACTCCTGGACACAGAAACCAGGACAGACCATAAGCCGTCAGAGGCGAGGAAGAGAGCGAGTCTAGTTTTAATTTAGGTGAACTGACCCTTTTAAAGGTAACGGCTGCTCCGACCGCCATGCCTCCGTCTCTGCGGCCTCGTTGTTATTCTCAGAGGGAAGCGGAGCAGAGAAAAGACGGACCGACCCGCTCTCTTTATCCCAGACACACTCGCTCTGTGCCAACCCTGCAGCCTGGCAACAGCCAATCACAGCGCAGCTCTGAGACGGGCAAAAAAAAAAACTGGTTTCTCTGCACAGCAACGAGCCGAAGCTGCAGAGATGGAGGCAGATGAGCAGCAGATCTGAGCTCTTCAAGTCAGTTTAAAATGGCTGTTTTAGACACGAGTGATCAGTGGGCAAATTTATCGATTTACACTGAATACTTTGCCAGGTCTGATTAACTGATGAGTGAAACTGAAAAATGTCACTGAGTAGAAAAAGAGATGTCGTCTACATGGTTACTTAAAGTTTACAGCGATTAACAGACATTCGACTGTGACGCTGTAACCCAGAACCAGTCATTAAATCAATACCTTTATTCATATCAATATATTTTTTAGTTCCTAACATGTCAGGAAAGAGCAAAAAATGTCCACTGGTACTCCACAATCTAATGACTGCTTTATCAAAAACCAAAACATGTTGGTGTCACGGTCATAAACACCCTGAAAACTCACAGATATTTACATGTAAGAAGCTGCTACCAGAACATTTTAAACATTTTTGCTTGAAAAATACTAATCAGTTACAGATATTGCAGCCAATTTACTTTTGGCTGTGTTCTGACGACTCATTTCGGCTTTAGACTGGGGCTGAACGATATGCAAAACAATTACACTGCGGTTATTTTGACAGATATTAAAATCTGAATTGTTGGATTTCTTTTTTACTTAAACATAAAAATGATGGTTTTTGCTGTTACTGGTACCAAACAGCCATGAACCTTTATGACTGGAAATATAATTTAGAGATCTCTGTAGCACATGGTATGCTGTGACATATTTTATTTTTTCAAAACATTGCAGCTGCTGCAATTTAGATGCTGCACACTGTCCATATTGTAATTTTGATAATATTTGGATGAATTGTTCTGAGTCTGTACTTGGTTATAATAGAAGTCAGTGGAGGTCTATTGCTGCTTTTTGCCCCTGAGGCCCATCAGGTGGTGAACCCAGCCCTGTGTTGGACATGTAGAGGCTTTTAGTGTTCCTCAAAGCAGAAAGTAAGCAGAAGTTCAGCACACAGCAGCCAATCAGCAGCTCTGCTGTCACACTGAAATATGGAGACTAACTGGTCGAACCAGAAATCTGCGGAGATGGAGATTACAGCTTCCATGTCTGACAGACGGACAGATTCATGGTTCGGTTTCCAGTCGTTTGTTGGGTTTTTACGTGAAGAATGAAGGAACCGAAGCAGCTGTGAGTATCTGACACTCTGACGCTGGAATCAGATGAACTCTTAACAAGCCTGAACATGAACTGGAAGCTTCAACAACACACCAGAACACGCAGTCTGCCTTCAGCTTCCACAGCGTTTAGGCTTTGGTTTGTTGTTATTGTTTGTCCGTGTGTTATGAGGGGAACCAGCTATTTATACCTGGCGTACGACATTGTGGGAAGGTGGGATTTGTCTTTATCTATTCACATTTAATAGAAATACTGAAAATAGTCCTCAACAAAGCTTCTGTTTTTACCTTATTAACAAACAGAACTACATATGTGTGAGGGGTTTTTGAAGACTTACACCTTCAGTAGGACTGAACTGGCTTGGTGCTGTAGTTGGAGTGACACACTGTGGGTTTGAGATTTAATTACTGTTTTTTACTATATGTTTAAAACAGACCACGTGGTGCAGAAAAATGCTGTGAGTTTAGCTTATTGATCAAACTTCACACCACGTTCAGAGAAAACAGACCCTCTGAGCTCTTCTTCATGTTTGGTAATGATTTATACAATCATTACACATCAGTGATTTCCCTTATGTGTGATGTGCAGGTGCAGTCTTAACATTAATCCAATAAAAACAGGTCAGAGAGAAATCTCAGGGGTCACTGTGATAAAACAACAAGACATCACAACAACAAAACAGGTTCCTCACATCAAAATGAGTCTCATTGACGAGCCTTCACAGGAAACTGATCAGAAAGATGCTGAAATACATTCAGACGCTCAACTAGAACCAGAGGATGTTCAGGTGAAAGACTTTCTTCAGACCAGTGAGACAAACAGGAGGACGATCAGCCCGCTGACTCTCATCAAAGAGGATCTCACCCAGTTTAAGGAGGAAGTGCTTAAAGTGTTCAAGGACAAAGATGCAAAAACAACGAGCCAGTCAGCGGAGAAGAGCGTCAACACTCTGACTCTGCTCAGAGAGGACCTCCACCAACTTAAAGACGACCTCTCCAGCGTCTTCAGGATGGGCCTTTCAAAGGAAAGAGACACTGCCAAAGAAGACTCCTTCACCAACTCCTTCAAGATAAAAGCCCCTGACGAGCCCCTGAAGACTCTGCTCAGGAAAGACAGAAACCTTTTACAGACGCCTCAAAGAGCAGAGGAACCTAAAGAGACGCCTTCAGAAAACAGCGAAGAACAAACGGACGATGCTTTTAGGGGAAATTTCTCAGACGAGCCCGCTGATGCTGAGAAAACGAACATGAAAGACAACGTGAATGAATTGGAGGACGGAGAGCTGGATGAAAAAGTTTCTGAGGAGAAAGCTGAGACGATGGAGAGCGAGGAGATGGCATCAAAGACAGGTACGTCCTGGGAGTTTACACGTAAAACAACTAATCAGCTTCATGTTACACTCTAAACTTCAGCTTTGTTTTTACACACTGAACATCAAATCATCAGCTTCAGCGTTCTCTCTGCATCTAATCTGGGTTCATACGGACATCTAATGCCTACAGTGCTGGAAATAACATTCAAACTCACATTTTATTGTTTCCCCTCTGAAACCTGCATCATTTCAAAATAGACCTAAGTTTTTGTTTAACAACTGAACATGCCATCAAACCTACACTTCTCTGTGTGACTGGTTTAATTCATTCACAGCCAGTTTGCCTGCAGCTGATCAGAGGTGTGAGAGTGAAGAGTGGAGTGGAGACTCCTCTGAGGCATCAGAAGACGAAGACGGACCTTCAGAAAGTCTTCCTTGGGAGCCTCTGTCCTCTGGGATCGCTTTGTTTAGTCTGAGAGACGACCTGAGGTGAGTTGAACTTGCAGTCAGAAGGAGCTCTGCTGCAGCAAATGCAATCAGCTAAAAATAAGATATTGTAGTGATGATTTTCATTCTTGTTGGTGTTGCAGGGATCAGCCAGAAGGAGAGTTGTGGTCACTGAAAAACTGTAAGTTTTACTGCGTTTCTCTCTATTTAATCAGTTTGCGCCCATAATAACATTTTTATAATTAGAACTTTCATGGAGCACAGACATGTTCAAGGTTTTGTGGCTGAATGCCCCAGAAAAATGGTGGCTTGTTGTGCATTGACTACTTCTATTTTTAATACTATTACTTGAACAGAGCATTTTTACACTGTGATGTCGGTACTTTTAGTTAAGTAAAGGATGTGAGTGCTTCCTCCAACAAAGGCTGTAAATTACAAGATATCTCCAGGAAAATCCCGCAGTATTTTCATGGCTAGCTCGTGGGTACACTGCACAGACTGCTGATAAAAGGCCAGTTTAAAAATAAAAATGAGAATCAGTAAAATGTAAGTTGTTATTTTGAGATGTTCATGTTCATAGAGGGATTGCTGCTGTGAGTGTTGAGGCACTATGACACAAATCTTTATATTAAACAGTGGAAACATTAGAATGTTTGAAATTTTTGCTGAATAAATTTGTCTTTTATTTTTCATTAAAGCTGCTCTTGGTTCTTGTTTTGCCTCCAGTTGCCTGCTACCTGACCCTTGACCCCAACACTGCCAACTCAGAGCTCCGTCTGACCGAATGCAACAGGAGGGCGTCTCGTCTCTGGTTGGGCCATCGATCCTCGGACCACCCGGAGCGCTTCGAGAACTGCCCTCAGGTGCTGTGCAGGGAGGGTCTGCTGGACTCGGTGTACTGGGAGGTGGAGTGGAGCGGCGGCGCTGACGTTGGAGTCGCCTACAACAGCATTTCCAGAGACGGAGATGTGGCGAGCTGCTTGCTGGGACACAATGAGCAGTCCTGGAGTCTGGAGTGCTCAGAGGGCAGCTACACGCCGTGTCACAACAGGAAGAGGTTCAAGTCCTCGTCACCTGAACCCTTCACCCGCAGAGTCGGGGTTTACCTCAACTGGTCAGCAGGATCTCTGTCCTTCTACTGCGTCTCTCAGGACGCCATGGTCCACCTCCACACCTTCACCTCCGCCTTCACAGAGCCTCTGTACCCGGCGTTCTGGGTGTGGGGATACAACGGCTCTGTGTCGCTGTGTCAGGTGGAGTTAGGCTGGGAACGACTGCTGCAGTGAAACAGCAGGGGGGGCGGCCAGAACTGACCAATCACAGCCCCTCTAGTCTCACCATGACAACGCTGTATCCAGGTCTCAGTGACCTCTACAGTCATCTGCATCAGTAACAACTGAGGATCCTGGGGCTGGACCACACAGGTGGAAAACTAATCGAGATGAAATGTTTCATTTCAGTTGATATCAATAATATTTATAATTTTTAATGACCTATTTCAAATAAAGACAAGCAGAAAAAAAGGTGTCATTTGATTTAACTACTTTAGCCTCTTTACTAGAGGTAAGGATTTTAATATTCACGCAGCAAAAAAAAAACATAATTAAAAGAATTTACACACATAAATAAAAATAAATGATAAAATGAATGGTCTGACCTTGATACATATTGAACAAAGAAAGCAAGTAAAACCAAGAGGGGCACTGAAGGTGAACAGAGAGGTTGGCCTGCACCAGCCTGCATGTGCACCACAACGTCACGTCCCTCCTGCTACAGAGCAGGCTGCTGGGAGAGTGTTGTTTCGGCTGAGGTGGGTGTTTTTAGACAATGAAGCCTGTCTCACTAAGACAATCACCGGTCCCCAAGTGTCTGTCGCCGCTATATGTCGGCACTGTTTCATGGCTCAGGTCTCGAAAATCCACATTCAGACTGAGCAGGTCTCAGCAGACTCTCATTCTGTTTCTGTCTCCTGATGCTCAGCGAAACATTTATAAACCTGCTGTAATGAAACAATGCGTGCTGTCTGCTGCTGTATCTGTGTCTCGCTCGGTGTGTTGCTGTGTGCTGTATGTCTGACCTGTAGCTGACTCTCCTGGCTCCCTCGGGCCTCCTGCAGCTCTTTCTCCAGCTGCTCCAGACGAGCAACACGCATCTGCAACACGCACACAGACACAAACACAGTTCAGACAGATGTGCTCTGTTTCCACCAGCAGCTGTCTGCGTCAAGTCTCATCCACAGAAACAACAATTCAAACTGGAAAGAGAAGTACATCATGCTAATACATATTCATTCCCACTTACTATGAAAGACAAGACAAATGATTTTTTAAGTGCTGCAGTTTATCCAACCTGTGTAATTCATTCACAAAAGCACGGCAGGAGCAACAAGGTTTTACACAAAAACAGGTGATAAACAGTCTTTCATTCTTAATTATTCAAAAAACAAAATGTTCACTTTTGCAGAACCTAATATCTTAAAATGATGTGCAACTCAATTGAGCTGCTGTGTGCGATTCTGTAAATGTATCTGAACGTCCAGGCATCAGCAGCCGGCGGCCTCCGTCTCACCTGCGTCCTCTGGACCATCTCGTCGCTGGTGCCGAAGCGTTCCTCCATCACAGATCGAACCTGCTGAGCCTCGAACTCCAGCTGCTGCCGGATCAGATCCATCTGCAGGGAAAACTGCAGCAGCAAACACAAACACACAGAGGTCAGACTGAGGCGTCATCATTTAATCTGACACTCAGAGGGAACACACACAAATGACTGTTTTAACTTGTAGTTTGGAGCTGAAATTCAATCTTTAACAGTTTCAAAGCTGGAACAATTGAGATAATTGATTAGTTATTATATATGGTAAATTTAATAATTTCTGCTTTTTTGTCACACATAGTTTTCACTATTTACTGTCACTTTATAGACAAAATGCTTAATCAGTTAATCAATAAATAAATGGCAGAATAACCAATGATGAAAACCATTGTAGGTCTATACATTTTTTAATAATTATTTAAATTGAAATTGGTTAATTTAAGTCAATTATTAAACATTTCTGAATTCTGGGAGGGCGGCTGCATAAAACAAAAGTGATTATTATCCGACATGTCACTATTTCCTAAGATTTTAAGGTTTAGGTATTTAGTTAATATATTGAAAAAATTGTATAAGATTTACCTTGAACGAGAATAATTGTTAGTTGTAGTCATGGGCCAATCTAGCTTTTTCTTTTTCCCATTTTATATTTTGTTTCTCTATTTCATTATTTATCTCATTCAAAATGTTTTCAGTTCAAAGCCATCACTTGAGCAGTCATCAACTACATATTTTCTCTGTCCTCTCTGCCCAACAATGATTAATGACTAAAAAAACAAAAAAACAAACTGTAGAATAAAATTAGAAAAGATTTTTTTCCATAAAACACAAAATATCAAGTCAGAAATGTCATGAATTTAACACGTTTACTTGCACTGTGTGTCCATGTTATTGTGTGCCTCTATCTGTGTGTGTGTGTGTGTGTGTGTGTGTGTGTGTGTGTGTGTTCTCACCATGTCGATGCGTGGCAGCTGGGCCAGTCTCTGTGACAGCGCCTCCAGTTGGCTGAAGTACCAGCAGCGCTCCCTCTCCTCGCGGTCGATCTCCCCCAGCAGGAGGTTCCTGCAGACAGATACAAAGACCCGGTCAGATCCTGGAAAGCTAACTTCCTGTTAGCATCAACTACAGCAGTCGTACAGCTCTGACAGACCAACTGTCCCCTGGTCCTGCTCAGTAACTGGTCCATGTGAACTTCCTCCCTCGGTGAATCAGCTCACCTCTCCTTGTACAGCTCCTCCAGGTGATGGTCGCTCTGCCGTCCATCTGCTCCGCTAATCACGGCTGTTTTGGGCGGGGCTCCATCCAGGAAGTGATGTGGCAGCATGACGGCGGCAGCCTCCCCGGCAGAGGCCATGCTCTGACGGGACGCCGCTCTGAGTGGACTCCTGGCTCTGCTCACCGCCGCCATCGAGGAGGAAGAGGAGGTGCAGGAGGACGGAGGCAGAGCCAGGTGATCGTCTAGCTCTGGAGCTCCGCCCACACCTGACCCCGCCCCTCCGAGGCTGCCCGACAGCAGCCTCAGGTTGTGAGGTTGGTGTTTGAGTTCGTAGTAGTTGGTGAGGTCCATGTGGAGCTCTGAGGAAGGAGGAGCATTATCAGATCAATACTCTTAGTATCTGCAATATCAGAGATCAAACAGTAACAGCATGCATGTGATTTCAGATGTAAAACAGCATCTTGCTCAACTTTACTACTGTTATCTTTGTCCATTAGTATTTTATTTTCATTTCCTGTATGGTACGAGGTGTGATCAAAATGTTCTGATTGTGTTGCTGTTGAATGAAGCTCAGCATGTCAATACGTAAGCAACAGTTGCAAACAGTGACTCTTGTGACTCAGGACTCTGTGTGATCAACGCTAGGATCTGGTTTTCTGACCACTTGCAGGTGTTCATTTGTGATTTCACCACGGACGATGACCACATCTTGCATATCATTGATTCTTTTTCTTCATGTCCTTATTTGCTGGTGTAGAGCTCTTTGAACTGCCTATGTGTTTGAAATGTCTACTTTGCGTCATCCTGCTTCCTTCTGCGTTGTGAATACTGAAAATATGAACGACTAAATCTGTTCTGTATGTCCTGTGTAGCAGATTTTGACAGTTAGGTACAGCCATCAGCAAGTAGCCATGCACTCACATTCATCTATCCCCACGTTTCAGTTCTGTCTAAAACTCCAATGTTTACACGTTGAGTTAGCTTAATTATTCACACAACTAAAATACTGCTTTCGTTGTATTTAGTTAATTCTATTATCTACCTGCACTGTGCCATTAACACTCCTGCTGTTCTCAGTCTTAGCTGGAGTTAACTGAATTTAATCCAGACAAACTAATTGGCATTAACTGGCTGTTTAATTTGATTGAATCCTAACGAGGCTACAGCCAATCAGGTTAGCTGATTCAGTCAATTAAGAGATGATTGTTCCCAGTGGAGGCTCTGATCTCTGAGAGTCCAACAGAATCAGCCATATCCACTCAGCTGGGACAGACTTTGAGAGAATCTTACAACTATTTAGAGGAATATTTTGGTTCTCTGACTCACAGAGATAAAACAAATAATCAAGGCCTGTCTAACAGCTAAATTATGACACGTCTGCTTCAGTGCAGAGATCCTGAAGCAAAGATTTTTCTACTCTTCCTGAGGACATTTAGTAATACTGAAGACAAAAGGATTTCACTAAAGGTGAGTCCCTAGCAGAGGCGAAGGAATCAGTAAAAAAAAAAAAAAAATCAGGTAAATAGTCTGCTGATGTAATCAAGGTGTGACAGTCTGATTCCCTTAGATGGAAGGCAAAACCTAAAAATCTCTGGGCCGCTCCATCAAAAGGGTTATGCATAAGACAACTAATAGAAGAAAAGCCTTTACTTTAAGTGTCAGTGTTTTCTGTCGGAGAGAAAAACTCCTTTAGGCGTGACCTTTTCAAGTATGCAGAGCTTTTATATGCACAAAAAAAAATTACATAACAAGCACCGAAAGCAGAATACGGACTCATTCAATGCTGATAAAACAGATCAAAGAAATGATTCACACCTTTAAGTTGGTGCAGCACGTCGCTCCTCCCGGACGACGCCAGAGTTCCAGCCTCCTGCTCCAGTTTGCTCTGCAGCTGCTTCAACACCTCCTGCATCACAGAGGACGAAGCACACAGGTAAATCCTCTTGGGCAGCACGGGGTGGGAGAACACACGGGTGGTGCAACAAGCAGCAAAAGCAGCGCTGCTATACTTCTGACTTTAAAAAAAAAAAAACCTTTTCCAGTCTGTCTAGTAATTTCACCCTCTGTGAACAGGTGAGAGCAACTCCCTAGAAATGATGTTAATTTAGTTCCTTAACATCCTCTAGTTGTTTTCTGTAAAGACAGAATGACATTTTCTGTTTGTTTTTCCCACACAACTAAAAGAGGCAGCAGCTCAGTCAGTTTATGATTGATGAGTAGCTAGACTCCTGCTAAAGATAGATAGCTCAATTATCCATCCATCCATTATCTATACACCGCTTAATCCTCACTATGGTCATGGGGGGCTGGAGTCTATCCCAGATGACTCAGGGTGAAGACAGGGGACACCCTGGACAGGTCACCAGTCTATCACAGGGCTACACTTAGAGACAGACAACCAAGCACACTCACATTCACACTTACGGACAATTTAGAATCACCAATTATCGTCAACATGTTTTTGGACTGTGGGAGGAAGCTGGAGAACCCGGAGAGAACCCACGCTGCACGGGGAGAACATGCAAACTCCATGCAGAAAGATCCCGGGTGTCCTCACCGGGGCAGAAACTGGCGACCTTCTAGCTGCAAGGCAACGATGCTAACCACCGCTCCACCTGCAGTCCTAGCTCAATTATGAATTCACAAAGTTTTACATTTGTGGCTTAGTGGTTTTCCTACAACACCACTACCTACCAGTGGGTTATCTTAAAAATAACCAATTTGCCAGAATCAGATTCTGTTAAAAACTAAATACTTTGCATTCCTCAGACCAACAATGAAGCCATCAGCGACTCAGTTGTGACCAACAGACAGTTTAGCAACTTTACAGCTGAAGTGCATTAATTTATGACATTATAACTGTGTCATGCTGCACCGAGTACATTTGTGAGTTCTCTCTACTTGTAGCCATAGTTGTGCTGTTTCCATACAGGTGCAGGACTTCATATTGCAGTAAAAATGAGCAAACAGTGAGTAAAAATTAGAAAGGAGCTAAATACCCAGAAACTGCTTGGAGTTTAGGGGATTAAACTGCCTTTAAACTGCACGCTTACATGAGCTAAATTGAAAATAAATATACGCGAATGAGTCCAGTACTTCTATGTTCGTAGCACGGGGACAGACAGAACACAGAAACACTGCATATTCAAAGCAAAGATAGACAAACGATCAAACAGCTTAGTCTGGCTACATTTTCTATCCGCTGTTTGCTCTCCGACTGCACGCGCGTGTTCTCATAAATAACCATAGAGATAATAATCCCATAAAACAGCAGGTAAAACATCACCTTGTTGCAGAGAACTATAAGAAGCAGTTATTCCTTCACATCCTCTGACGTTAAGCCTCCGTGTGTCGCCGTCCCGCTGCAGACTCACCTGCTGCAGGTGAATCAGCTGTCGGTCTCGTTTCTCTCTCTGTCCTGATTCTGACACTAAAACCAGCAGGGCTCAGCCTGATAATCCAGCTGCTCTCAGCATCTGGACACGTGAGCCAGTGTGTGCATGCGTACACGTTCATGTGTGTTTATGTGGCGGCAGCTGATGGGATTTATGTCCAGCAGGCTTTAAGTCTTGGCCTGATTTACAGCTTTCACTCCCCGTCTCCCTCTGCGCATTTATTGATTATCCTGCTACATAAACAGCTGATTTGATTTATGATTTAAAAATGTTCATCACTTCTGAAGCGACTGTAGGCTTTAAAGTTCATTTGTGACTTGTGAGAATTCGTAGCTTAACGACATAATTCGGAAACGATTTGAAACAAAGGTCACAGAAACAGGGGACTTAGGGAACACGTGACGGGCGTTTTTCATCATTTTTACTTTTTCATTTGTAAAAACGATGTGTCAATAAATCAAGGAAATAACTGGTAGGCTAATAATTCCTGTTTCAACCTCACAAAAGCATCCTGTTCTTCTTTATGTCTCTAAAGCGAACACTGCATTATTTCTTCTCTCTGGGGATCCATCGGACACACAAAGTGCTCAGTCATCTTAGTTTTTAGTCATATGCTGCCTGCTTGATAAGGTCACATTGTATATACAGTACATGCATTAGTTAGTTCATATTTAGCACATCATTAAGAAACTTGATGGATGATTCAGGGGGATTTTCAGCCAGATCAGGCATCTGCAGTTTGTTTCCATGTGAAGCGAGCTGCTCATGAAGCCCAACTAAGATCTGCACCATACAAACGCAGCTCTCAGACTTATTAGCAGCTTTAAGCTACAAATATGTAAAATGAAAGGTTTATATGTACTGTTGTTGTTGTTTTGTGGTTAGTTCTAACCTGCCGTACATTTTTACTACAGTTTAAACTTTACAGGAAATTTAAATAGCAATAAAGTTCACACATTTACATGGAGATGAGTAAGTCAAGTAAGTTTTGATTCTATATTTTTAAGCCTTTTTTTCCTTTTTGGTTACATTTTTCAACAAACACACACATAAAAAATAAATTAAAACTTAACTAAGGCGAGTAAACCCACCATAAACGCTAACTCATTTAACTAAACTGAAAATAAACCAAATAAAAATAGAAACTAATTAAAGATGTGAACTGTGGGGTCCACGCTGACCTTCATGCCGAACGTCTCCGTCTCCAGTTTGGACAGGTGGTTGGAGTTGTCCTCCAGCTCCCTCCTCAGGTGGGAGTTCTCCTTCCGGAGCGCCTCCACCTGGTGGGCCAGCTGGTCGTAGGAAGCCACGGCGTTGGCCATCTTCACACAGTGCAGCGCCCCCTGCAGGAAAACGCACAGAGGAGGCGGCAGCTTTAATAAAGTCTGACGGCACACTGAGGAGTGACTCGACCACACCAAGCTGTCAGTGTACAGGGAGGTAATGAGGGGTAACAGAGGCCCAGCAGGGCAACTGCTCGGGGCAACAGGAGGGTAATTCAGCCATCACAGAGTCCCGCTTAGATACAGTCCACCTCCATGCAGATGACCTGCAGACATCAGAGTCTCCATCAGCTCAAACTCAGCTCATCTATTCAATAAAGCTTCACGCCTTTCTTACCACTGGTTGCCTCATCTCCTCCTCCTCTTCCTCTCCTCCTTCTCCCCTCTTGCTGTCCTCCTCCTCTCCTCTAGCGCTCTTATCTTCCTCTTGTCCTCCTCCAATCTCTTCCACTCATCGTAGAAACTCAGTCCACCTGTCAGATCTAAATTTCTCCTCTTCCTCCACTCCTTTCCTTGTTCTGTACTCCTCCCCTTCTCCTCCTTCACCTCCACCAGCTATTCCAGTTACTCAGTTTCTCCTCTTCTCATCCTTTGCACCTCTCTTCCTTCTCTTCCTCAACTCTTTTTCCTCCTACTTCTCCTCACCCTTATCTTCTCCCTCTCCTCTCCTTGTCCTCGACTCCTCCTCTTCCCTTCATTTCGTCCTCACCTCCACCATCTATCCTCTTCGCCTCCTACATCAGCTTGATTTAATGTTTCTGACTCTCCTCCTGCTGAACATGAAGCTCCTGTTAGATAACATGTTATCTAAGTTTCTCCTGCGGCTGTTTCTGGCCTCCAATCAGCTGATCCTGAACCAGTCTGAACATCAGATTTTCCACTCATTAGTCTGTTTCTGTAGGACGTTCTGCTGTAAACACCATCAGCCTGAGAGTTCAAACTGTAGGGTCAGATTTGACTCTAACACGAATGTGTTACGTTATGAAACTGTGCTGCATCTCTTACTTTCCTCCACGACTGAGTCACACATAAAATAACCTTCACAGCTGATTAACCGTGCAGCAGAAAATATGTCCTGAAGGAAAGATGACGCGGCGAGTTTTTCATCAACATATCGAGGAAACATTTTTAACAACGAGGTCTAAATGTTTTCCAATGTGTGAAGTACGGCGGATGTTTTACGTATCGATGTAATGCTGCACCACCTTTGATCTGCAGCAAATACTCCCACAGAAAATGAAAGGGGAACACTATGGGATGTGGTAGAAGAGGAAGCTGGCAGCATGAATGAGACGATGATGAATTATGTCAACGTGGAGCAAAATCAGAGAAAAGTTTCCAACATTTTATCAATAACTGAGAGCAAAGAGAGGTCAACACAGTCAGTCTGCTGCTTCTAGTGAACTGAATATCTTTACTGTATAATAGGATTATATTAATATTTAAGCATCTTTTCTTAAACTCAATGCCTCTTACTGATGTTGCTTTGTGTTCCCTATGTTGTTTTGAGTGTCTTTTGGTTTGGTTTTGTCACTTTGTGCTTGTTTTGTGTCTCTTTTTGCTAGTTCTGAGTTTCTGTTCTGTCTTTTTGTGGTCATTTTGTGTCATTTTAAGTCTTTTTGTGCTCGTTTTAAGCCTTTTCATGAGAATACAACAGCAGCTTTAAGTGACTGGGTTTGTGCAGCAACAGCACAAAAGACAACTGTCTCTTGCACCAACTCACTTACAGAAACACACAAAAAACCCAGCAAATGAAGTGATGAACACATAAACTTCACACTGAGACAGAGTGAGGTCATCGCTTTGGGGGTCAGAGCTGCACATGCTCTGTCTGCTCTTTAATTCTGTTCATGTGACTGTCTGAGTGTGTGACCTTCAGTGCAAAGACGAAGCTGCCTAGAAAACCATGCTGCTGTTTGTTTTGTTTGCTTGCTTGCTCGTTTGTTTGAGGCTGTAAATAAAACAACAGTCCTGCACTGCTTCTTGTTCAGATGATTTTCTGTCCCTGTCGTCAGATTTCCGCTCCGATCAGCAGATTCACTGCAGCAAAATGTCACTGCTGCATTCATTATGAGGAGCTGACCTCCCCCTCCTCCTCCTCATCTTCCTCCCAGGGGATTGTGGGTAAGAGGAGGATGGAGCAACATGATCAGATTTTATTGGTCTCAGGTTACAGGATAGACTGCAGATGACTGATCGCTGTACTGCTCCGTCATTGGCTGATAGGGGCTGCCAACGCCACGTCCAAAGTCTCATTTAAAGTTTTTTTAAGTAAACAACTTAATAACATTGTTCAGCTGCTCACTAATAAATACAGTCAATTAGTAACACGCAGTCTGATGCAAAACACGATGGATTATGAAACAACGGAACCCCCAACCTGAAAGCAGGAGCAGCACAAGAATTTCTCTGAAGTCGTTTTGTGTCTTCTTGATTCTTTGATTAACTTTACAACAAGAAACATTAACAACCACTTCCAACTCACATAGTAAAACATGAGAAGCTCAAATTACACCAGTGGCTTTAAACCAGGGAGAAAATCAAAGCGTGGTTACGAAACAGACGATCAGCTGAAAACAATCAATTCAACCTCCAACCTGGACTGACCGGCTGCCAATCAATACCGCGATAAATACACACAGACACACACACACACATATGATCTGCAGGATGATGAACACAATAAACTGTCATCGTCCGGAATCTGCACAGTCCACATATGTTATGCTCCTGAAAGTGAACAGACCACTAAAATATCCAATGTTACTGTCAATGAAATGAAAAAGCAAAACAATTCTGGTGTTGTGCAACTTGCATTGAGATTATTTGGGGAATTATTACTTAAAAAAAATAAAATCAGCAGCACAACAACTGTATTTTACCCAATTTAATGGTTAGATTTGCAACTACAGATCACAAATCAACTACTTTGCAGTACACAATCATTACCTTTCTTCCTCCATCACTTTTTTCTCATCCAGTCTTCCTCCTCTCCTCTACAAATAGCTTGAGAAGACGTTTGTAATGTTATTGTTACTTGCTAGCTTCTGGCCAAAAGTTCAGCCAGAAGATATCAAAGTGGTTTTCTTTGAAACTAGCAAGAGCAAAGCAAGTAGTTAGTAGAAGAAGAAAAGCGCTATGAAGCTGCTGCTGCTGCTGCAGAGAGCAGCACTCCCAGGCTACCAACTAACATTCCCAAGCAAGCTGCGCAACAAAAGAGCAGCAATACGCGTCACTTGCCAGTTTACACACTGTCTGACTCAAAAACACAGTTTCTCCCGTGAAGACCCTCCAAATCCGAGCTGATAGGAGTCAGCTCAAATCTCTCTGACATACTGACACACAAAACTGGAGCGACGCAACAGAACCAAAGCTCATCACCAGGCCTCCAGAGAACAAACAACCTGGATCTGATACATCTTGACTTTTAAAAGTTTAGACTGGGCTACGATTCTCTAACTGGGAGGGTAGACATTTGTAACATGAAGGCAGGTTACTTTAAAAGCTTAAGTAGCTGTCAAAAATCAGACTCTGCTAAATCTGAACACACAGACATGATACCCCTATTTTATAATCAGTGTGACTTAGACTGCCTGTGGACATGATTATCTCTTATTTCCACCACAAAAAAAATCTATAAAACCTCTTTATATCTCCACAACTTGCCTGACAATCATGATGTTTTTATCAGAATCAGAATCAGCTTTAATGGCCAAGTACGTAAACAACATACAAGATATTTGGTNTGCAGGAACGAGATTCTGTTTTAAAAGAAGCTTTTACAGGCAGCTTGTCTTTTAAAGAAGTCACCAAAATCGTCAAAACTGAAATAATTTTCCACATTTCAATCATCCTTGAACAATTATTCACATAGAATCTAAATCAAAGCTTAAAATATAAATAAATCCACTCAATAGCATTTTATTCTGCACGTTGCATTGAAAAATAAATAAATAATAACAATAAATAAAATAAGATAATGTGTGTTTCACCAATGAGGGTCCTCACAAGTATGGAGGTCCAAATGTGTGTGTGTGCAGGTCCCCCCGACACTGCAGACCTCAGCTGGTGTGTGTCTGTAATGTCGGTGTTTCTCATCAAAGACCTCGGATACATTGATGTTCCCTGTCACCATGGTAACAGTGCCACATCCTCCCCCCCATCCCCTCATTGCCATGGTGACACATTTACATCAAGTGATGGCTCTTTCTGCCTCTCTTGTCATCTCACACACACACACACACACACACTGCCGCAGTCGCTGCAAAGCACACTGCATAAGAAGAAGAAGAAGAAGGAGAATGTGCAGCTCAGGAGAGAAACGAACGATTTAACAAGCGTTAACGGAGCCGGTTAACGGTGCAGTCGCTATGGAAACGACCGATCCGACGCGTGTGACCCCAATATGAGACGACAGTGTGGAGAGATGAAACAAGAAGAAAGGGAGGAGGAGAGGAGATGACTTTTTAAAACAAAAATGTACAACAATGCAAGGGTAGATGCAGCTTCTGCTTCAGAACAAACAATACATCCTTAAAACATCACTGCAGCTGACACACACACACACACATAAACACACACACACACAATAAGCAACACGGGATCATGCAGCCCAGCCTGAAGCGAACAGCTCAGTGCACCTCAGAGACTGAAGCAGCACTCATACCTCTGACAAGATGATAATCAGGTCAGGAGGGAAAAATACTGATCCTGTGTCAGCGATTGAGAGAGTGAGAGGGAGAAAAGACACACAAAAAAACAGAGAACAGAGAAATAAAGACAACAAGAAAATGATTGATGTTGAAGCCATTGTTTGTGCTGATTGTGCAAATTATATCCCTACAATTAGTTCATTTATTGAGGTGATATTAACCTTTTAATTTGCCCTATGAACCATTGACAATAATATTATTCTAAGTAGGTATTTGTGCATTCATTGTAAATAATCAGATGGGGATCAGCTGTGATAGAAGGAGGGGGGGGAGGACTGAGGTTTGGGTGAGTTCCAAGATCCATAATGCCAGACTATACAGTAAGCCACAAAGAGGTTTACTGTGTCC